TAATCGTAGTTGGATGTGTACCCACCTTTAGATGTTACTCTCCTGAAATAATGGAAGAGACATTTGATCTTCTCCATCACTGCTACACATCGACTATGCTTTTCTTCGCTATAAGCGGCGAACAATCTGCAATATACAACTAATTTGGCGTACAAGCTATACATGTATCTAAAACATATTCGCGAAAAGGATTCAAGAAGGATATAATATCGAATAATTCGATCATGTTCTATCGATCGGACTGTTACCTGTTGAAGTTAATATGAGGATACGATGCGTATTCCGATTGCGGATTACTGGAATTACGTCGTGGGAATGTACAAAAAAATGCATTCGCCAGCAACGAAGCCACTTGCAACTGGCTCAGACTGATGCATCCGTTGGTATGACGTTTTAGCAGGGGAACCGCGCCAGTCAACAACATAGGAAGCTGTAAAGCAAGCTGCACTATCTTTGGCATCAGAGTCTCGAAGAAGATAGCCGTCTCTTCAGAGTCCAGAATCTACGTGCAAGATTGAACAAATTAGAATTCTCAAACAGCGTAATTTGTTATTATATTGTATATCGCGCGATATACCTCTGAGAAGAAATAATGGAGCGCTGCAAAATTCCAACGTTGTGCATATATCTGATTATATGAGAGTATAGCATCCTCTAACTGTTGGCTAGAAAGCATGCTCCTGAGCAAGGCTTCTTGGATCATCTCCCATCTATTTCGACAACAGCGACTTCCATTCCTCTGAAAGAAGATCTGATTAATATCAAAACAATTGGCTGTGATAAAATGGTATAAAATATAATGATCTATATTGAAAACAAAATCTAATTAAATTATTATATTAACCTAATTAAAAAACCTGATTAAATAATAAAAATATTATTAATAATATATTATTAAGAATAATAATTTATTAAAGTAAATTCCAATTAAATTAAAAATAAAATCTAATTCTAATTCTATCATATGAAAATATTTTACTTTTTTTTATTGCATAACAATGTATACCTGCTCTATAGGATATAAACTGTGTGCTGAATGTGGCATTCGTACATAGCCCTGGCTCCATTTGTCAGACTGATGCGAAGGATACGGTTTTGGTGGACCACGTGCAGGTAACGGTAACTAACCAAAAAAAGATTACAAATTACTCATATTTGTATAAAGTTAATAACTGACAAAATAATTGACATTAGTGTTTATCTTTAGACTTGTACCGTAAACAATACTATGTGACGAGGAGAAACAATGATTGGTGGGTGTTCTTGATGCTCATATGTGCTAAGACCCTTGCGTATCTCACTCATGCTTATACCTTTCCATTCTGGTATATTATCTGAAGGTTCTGGCTCGTTAATGCCAATAGACATAGAACTTGCTTTAAGAAAATGAGCATTTGAACATGAGAAGTATAAAATATGAAAGAATCTAATAAATTATATGTATGACTGAATCCTTACAGTCTGAATTGACATTGTTTATGCTGGCAGATAATTCTACATCCGAGAATAAATCTGTAGAGAGTTCCTCGTCAAACGTTATCTCCGACATTTTTCTTTCCTTGTGTGTCTGAAAAATGTGTTATACGCAAAACAGTATAATGCGAAGTCCAAGATGCAAAAAATCGACAACGTTTGCTATTACTCACCTGTCAGAAGAGTAAATTACGATGTTGAAAGGACGCCTTGCATCACGGTGAACGTCATCAGAACAATTAAACGTGAATCTCTTCAAGGGGAATTATAATAACAATCAATTTATCTATAATTTCTAGTTCTATTAGTCGCAACTGTAATCTGTATACAAATTCATATTTTGCATCGCTACCGTGGGTGCTTCCATTTGCATTACCTGTTTGATAAAGGGCGGTTTTATTGGCTACGTATCATCTTCAGATAATATCTAATACTATTATCTTATGATAACTCGTAGCCATTGGCTGCGTTCAGCAGAGAAAGTTACTTTGCACTGTTATAAAATTCGTCAATCTGATTGGAGTATGCTCTTAATTTTGGTTGAATCCAAGAGCACGTACCAATCAAATTCGAATTGCAGTTGCAAAGCAGCTTTCTCTGCTGAACGCAGCCAATGAACGGCTATGCTTTAACACAAGGGGTGCAAATGAAAACCGCTTGTCGATGAGTTGCGTTGCGTAGTAACATTACATGTGGCAATCAGCAGGGGATGCTTCTGTGCACGCTTCGCGTGGACGATACGTATCCATTAAAGCCCGTATCAGACTATAGATTAGAATTGAGATTGAATTGAAAATTGGCCAATCAGAACAAAGTTCATCAAACTTGAGCTTAGTGAATTTTGCTCTGATTGGCCAATTTTCAATTCAATCTCAATCTTAATCCGTAGTCTGATACGAGCTTTAGGCCTGTTCTTTGTAGCTGCACTGCTGAACTGGTGCAATATATTGAAGTGAGACAAATATACGTTTTTCACTCTAACTTATTGCACTAGTTCAGCAATGCAGCTACAAAGAACAATATAGGTAATTTTCATTGCGCAGCTATTTTATAATATGATTAAACTGCGCAGTAAAACTTACGTGTACGCAACTATTTCAAGAATAGGGGCCCAGCACTGGGATTCTATAACTCGTTATTGGAGTTAACGACAGTTTCGTTATCGTTGCGCAGCTTTTGTATACCGTAGAAAAACTACGCAACGACAACGAAACTGTCGTTAACTCCAACAACAACAAGTTATAGAATCCCAGCATAGGCCTAATAGACTGCCACACTTTACTCCACGCATGCGCAAAAGGCGTCATCGTTTAAAATTCGAAACTCCAACATAAAACCGACGACGGCTGTAATTACTTCGTCGCATCGTGAGGAAATTCTGCGGCCTGCTGCAATGTAAGAGGCAGTCGGTCAACAACATCGCGAGAAACATGAGCGCGACGCTGCAGAACTATCACACATGGTGAAGGACTACGGGACAATGGATCCCGTAGCGATCCTAAATAAAGACTTGGCATTTTTGTTATTTTTTGGATGTAAGGTCAGAGAGATGATGGACTTATAAATAAAAGTAATATAATATATAAATATATAATAACTTATATATAAATATAATAATTTATATAATAACTCATATAATAATTTATATATTGGGTGTACAACTTAGTTCGATCCGTTTTCAAAAGATGGCTCTAGGTGCTATAAATGGTTAACGGCGACAGCTGATTTTTGCTGTATCGTGGTGTCAACATCTGTCAACCAAATATTGTTTACAAGCCTTTGAGTTGTTTTGCACAACAAGTTTAATTTTTACTGCGTTGAAAATGTCGAGTTTCGTTCCAAATAAGCACCATTTGCGGGAAGTTTTAATTTTCTGTTTCAATTGGAAGAAAAGTGCAGCTGAAGCGCATCGAATGCTTGTGGAAGTTTATGGTGAATCTGCACCGTCGGATAAATCTTGCAGAGAATGGTTTCGACGATTTCAAAGTGGTGATTTTAGTGTTGAAGACAAAGAGCGTTCGGGTCAACCGAAAAAGTTTGAAGATGAAGAATTAGAAACATTACTCGATCAAGATTCGTGTCAAACGCAAAAAGAGCTCGCAAGAACATTGGAAGTTACTCAACAAGCTATTTCGAAACGACTCAAAGCCGCGGGATACATCCAAAAGCAAGGAAATTGGGTCCCATACGAATTGAAACCGAGAGATATCGAACGACGATTTTGCATGTCCGAAATGTTGCTTGAACGGTACAAAAAGAAGTCTTTTCTGCATCGAATCATTACCGGGGACGAAAAATGGATTCACTACGACAACCCGAAACGCAAAAAATCGTATGTAAAGCCCGGCCAACCGGGAACATCAACGCCGAAGCCGAATATCCATGATGCCAAGGTAATGCTCTGTATTTGGTGGGATCAGAAGGGTGTGATCCACTATGAGCTGCTAAAACCTGGTCAAACCATCACGGGAGACTTCTACAGGCGACAATTGATCCGTTTAAAGCGAGCTATAGCCGAAAAACGTCCAGAATATGCGACCAGACACGAGTCCATAATCTTTCACCATGACAACGCTCGGCCTCATGTTGCTGTTCTGGCTAAAAACTATTTGGAAAATAGCAGATGGGAAGTTCTGGCTCACCCGCCTTATAGCCCAGACCTTGCCCCTTCCGACTACCATTTGTTTCGATCGATGCAGAACGCTTTGACTGGAATACACTTCACTTCAGAACAGGGTATCAAAAATTGGCTCGATTCATTCTTGGCTTCAAAAGATGAACGCTTCTTCCGCGACGGAATCCATAAATTGCCAGAAAGATGGGAAAAAGTAGTGGCTAGCGATGGACAATACTTTCAATAATGTATTAATTCATTTTATCATTCAAATAAATGCGTTTTTCAAGCAAAAAAACGGACCGAATTAAGTTGTACACCCAATATTAACATATATAAATAAATAATATAATATAATAAATAAACATAAATATGTGTTGTACAACGTCAGCAATAAAGCTTTCTCCCTCTTTTTCTTTATTAATAATTGGTTTTTTAATTTAACCTGTATCCCCCCCTCTGTATAGTAAACATCACTTCATCAGTTTTTCATCCTGAGCAAAAGTTGTTCTATATTGTAATGTGACGACATTTTAATATTTTATCGTATAATATTATATAGTATAATATTGTGTTTTCTATAGGTTATTATAGCTTTCCAGTAAACACAAAGTAACAGTTATATACCTGTCAGTTGTAATTTCTTACTCAATAATATAACTGTTATATAACGCTTATGTTATATAACAATTATATTATTGAGTAGGAAATTACAACTAACAGGTATACTGTTACTTTGTGTTTACTGGGTTATTTTACATGATGACATTTACGTACACATATATTTGTAATTGTGCAAGCAAACATCTGCGTACGTTAGAAAGAGCAGATGTACGTTTACAGTAATTAATCTTCCAGATTATTTTTTAAATTTACTTTATGAAAAAAAAGCGGGTGACAATAATTGGGGGAGTTTGTATAAAAACTTAGACTTTATTCCATACAACACACATTGTACGTAACTTGCACTTATGACATAATAATTAATGTTATATTGATTATTACATAAATATGTGGTCTTATATGCTACTTCTATTTGTGGAGAAAATGCACATTGCTGCGAACGTGTGAAATATGCGGGTGAGTTAAAGTTGCATGAAAATTAATCGCATATTTTTGTCGCGTTCTTTTTTTTCGCGAGTTATTCATGACTTTTCATGGAATATTATCTCTCGCGCATACAAATGTGCTTAAAGTGTTATTATAAATTACCGAGGTATTTGATTGCGCAGGTAGCTTAGTATTTCCTCCGTATCTTTCATTAAAGTATTCTGTCTAGGAAACTTGAAACAATTTCCCAATAATGAGAGATTTCTAAAAAAGAAATTTATTCAATATTTCAACATTAATTAAATTATTCTAAACTTTCTTTTATCAATAAGAGCCTTTAAATGTAACTTTTAAGTCTTCTGATTAGCTTATAAGTACATTTAGAGACATTTTCATTGATAAAAGAGAATTTAAGAAATTTAAGTAAAAACGTCATATAGTTTATATATGTTTGATATAAATATTGTTGAAAGTATTAAAACTAACAAACACCAGAGAAATTATATATAATATACAAAAATTATCTACCTTATATTTTTCAAGTTACCAAGTTGAGGTGGCACATAAGCGATATTATTATTTGCCAGATTTAAAACTGCTAGCCCTTTCAGTTTTTGCAAAGACGTTACGTCAATCTCCTTAATTTTGTTATCATTGGCACTTAAGCTTTCCAAAGATACAACATCATAAACTGTCTCTGGTAGCTCTTCAAATCTGTGGAAAATGTCATCGTGCAGATACAAACATAATGAAAGAAAAGAATACTACAGATAAATTATCAGAAATAGTTCAAATGAAATATAATACAAATTATATAATACCTGTTAAACGAAAGATCAATATATCGTAAATACTTCAGGCAGCTAATACTCAGAGGTAAAGATTCCAGGTAGTTTTTACTTATGTCTAAGGTCTGCAGGTATTTGTACTTTTCACCTATCCACTCAGGTAGACGCGTCAAGAGATTGGAAATTAACTTTAGATCCGTCACCGTAACTATTTCAGCCATTTCGTCAGGCAATTCAGCCAATTTGTTCCTACTCAAATCGACGGTCGTGACTGAGGCTTCCACCGCATCTGCCAAGACCTCCCCCGGCAATTCGACAAGATTCTGTCCAGCCAAGCTGAGCAGTTTTGTATTCCTCATCATGTACCTGAATTGTCACAAGCAGTAAGCAGGTGTCGAGGTCAGATTTGGTCAGTAATTGAAGTTAGGATGAGTTGACATTGATATTCACATACTTGTCAGGGTATTTGCTAGCGCTGGTACTACATGCTAACCAATCTCTGGTATTTACATTTGTACTGTCCGTGGTCTGGCGTATGTGCGCCAAAATACGCGGTGTACCGCATCGTATGATGTCTCCCCTTACATTCTCTATGTAATTTTCCTTGATTGCGAACTCCCTCAAATTTGGCAAGACACCAATGCAAGAGGGTATCCTGTAAGAATGGCGTGGTGCAATAAACAAGCAGCGAGCTAAATAATAGTGTAAAATATTCTCAAAAATTTTGGAGTGAAATCTCACTCGAAACGAGTAAAAAATGATATTTTTACTGAAAACCGTTGTGAAAATACTGGCACCACACGAAGTTGCAAAGAAATGAATGTTTTATTCAAGCTTGGAGTGAATATGTTCAAAATCAATCAAATTCACACTTTAATTTTGAATGAAAATATTTATTCGGTGATTTAGAGCGGAGAATTCACTCTGTATGAATGGAAAATCACTCAAATTCGAACGACTCAGTGGCCACTCTGCTCTTCGGATGAAATTTCACTCCAAGAAATTTAGAGAGAGGGAGAAAACGCTCACGACGTACAGAGATATTCTATTATGCGACACATCAAAGACCTGCAAATTGATCAATTTTATTATTGCCTCGGGTATAACCTCAATGTAATTGTTTTGGAGTGTAAGCTTCTTCAGATTACTGAGCCCTTCCAGAAATGTCGGCTCGATCTCCTGCGAAACAAAAAATCACAGAATAATCGATGAAGCGTGGCCTTCTTCTTTGTGGAGAAGCCAGTTACGACCATTTTTCAGGTGTAGATTAATGCATTGACACATACGGAAATGTTATTGTTTTCCAAATACAATTCTGTTAAAGCGGAACAACCTGATACGTCCGGGAATGTATAAAAACTGTTCGACTGTAACATTATTCTCTCTACTCTTCGCAATTCACCTAACGGCGGTATCGAATCCAGCTCGTTGAAGCTCATGTCTAACGTCTTCAGTGCTGTTCGTGTACCGAGAATGCAATAATAATTATCACATAGTGAGAAAACATTTACCAGATGACCCTTTTTCGTATCGGTTCTCGCGTGAAACTCACATCTCATATTCGTTATATCCGGACCGACTTCTATAATCCTATTGTGAGACAAATTTAACGTGACTAATCGTACCAAGTATCCTATTCCAATTGGCACAAAGGTCAGCTTATTGTGTGACAAATCCTATAAAATGAAAAATATCATAAAGTTAACAGTACTAACTAATTGGACGTAACAGTACTAACTAATTGGACGTAATTACAAATAATTCGCGACACATCGTAACATACAAATAACATATTATTACCAAGTGAGTTAACATAATCAGATCTCCTATCTCCGGATCCCATAATTCGATATGACAATTTTTCAGATGCAATTCACGCAGTTCCACCAACGTGTAAAGTTGTGGGTCCAAATATTCCATTTTGTTGCCTGATATATTTAATGTTTTCAGTTTGCGCAAAGACCCAATTGTATGTGGTAGATTCTCCAATAAATTGTTGTGCAGCTGAAGATGATATTAATTAATGTTTATGATAAAATGCTTTATATAAAAGGGCGGTATGTTAGAATTTAATGTACTTTATTATTACTGTGTGAAATTAACAACAATAAACTTCATAAGGAAGGTGTTTTTTGTATAAATTATTTTTAATTATATTTATATAATTACGATGTCTCCCTTATGAAATTTGCTTCTAATAGCTGCTTGAATTGTATACAACAATAAGTTGCATTGAAACTTAACGCATAACTTTTATAAACCTTGTAATATATATATACATATATATACATAATATATAATACACACACATATATATTTATATATTTATAATATATATTTTTTAAATTAATTTTTGCTATCTCAGAGATAATTTATATTAACTCAAAAATATGCTGCTAGAGTTGACATCATTATACGTACATCCAATGTATCGAGCTCCTCCAGAAACTCTATTCTATCATCAATAGTAGTCAAGCTGTTGCAGCTCAGATCTAAAACTCTTAACGGTTCTTGTTCCCACCATCGTTCCTCTTTGTGCTCGTAATCGAGCTCGAAATGCAAATGTTGCAGTTCCTCTTCTGTCAATTCATTTATGCTCCATACTTTGTCTGGTACTGCAACGTATGTCATCTCGTTACTTTCAAACTTTGACATTCTTTCCTGTTTTTTATTGCATTTTAATTGCATCTTATTGTAAGGTTCAATGAAAATATTTGGATCAACTTACCTTGTACTGTGGATTGGCTTATTTGCAAATTACGGCGGATTTACCTGTTTTACACGATCACCTTCCTTACACGATTTTTAGCGAAAGCGTGCAAAGCGACTTTGAGACGATGGTTTTCACATGATACCAAGCGTATGTTGAATTTATTTAAATTAGAAACTACTTCTCTATCGTATATATCGCGAAGAAGTGTTATTGCTAATTCTGAACTGGATAATGAAAATTAAACCAGTATACCTGATGAAACTAAACCTCTACCTACAGCTAATGATTTTGAATTTTGTCTTATTTCAAATACAAATCAATAGCATACACAATTTATATACATAAAAAAAATAACACAAATTACATAAATAAAAATCAAATTTATTTAAGATTTTCACATATCACTGGGCTTACAAAGTTTACTGGATTATCTAAATATTAGTATATATATATATGTGTGTGTGTGTATGTGTATATATATGTGTGTGTTGAATAAATGCCAATTTATTATTAATACTAATTAGTTAATAATTTAGTAGTAGTAACATCAATTACAAATCCTAATATTTTGTATACCTTTGCTCCAAAGATGACCTATGATACGATGAGTGAACAGAGTGACATTACGCATATCTCGCATTTCTTTGCAATCTTATTCAAAAGATAATCATAGACAACATAGATACTATGGCCGTTATTCTGAACTCCCTTTTGTTGATACAAGTGCCTCTATATGTGATTTATAAGCTTTCTGACTGGCTCAAAAGTACAAATTTAGAAGCACTCTCAATCAATAAAAAAGAATTCAGAATAAAGGCATGTGTATACAAACATTTGTGTCTGTGCGACAATTAACATCCAAGTAATATTCACAAACAACATTCAAAGAAACAAAAGATTTGCATACTCTTCTTTGTTGAAATATTGATGAGATCACCTATAACAGTTGTTTGAACATGGACATGTATAAAATAAGTAAAATTATACCATAAGCATGCACATTCAATGAAGAAATGCAATATTGTTCACGACTCGAATGTAAAACAGAACATGCTTGAAACAATGTAGCATATAAATGAAATAAATGAGAATTCATGAATACGTAGTAAAGTAGTAAATTGCTAATGCCTAACCCGACTATCATCACTATGCTCGTAATATTGAAATATGTGCAAAGATTGTTTGCAAATACCCGAGGATAATCCTTTCGACGAGAGATTCAATCGTCCGGTTTTTCTCGCCGACACGATCGCGCTTTTTGACAGCTCGGCATTATCGTCTGTTTTTGTACGCTTTTTAAACAGAGCGAAACGATTGCTCTTCTTCTTGACGTCGCTCATGTTTACAACGCATCTCACCCTCGCTCATCAAAAGCTCTCTCTCTCTCTCTCTCTCTCTCTGCTTGCAGACCATGGACGTAGACTTCAGATTTCAATAGTTGGCTGAGTGCACCTAACTATTAGTGATCCTACGCCATTGCTTACCATGGACGTAGTATACATGGACTCCGCATGGCTGCGTTCAGAAACCCTACTCCGTAAGTAGAGTAACATTTAATTAGCCAATCAGAGCAAAAGGAACTAAGATTTATTTATTATGATTGGTTTATTAAAGTAACTCTACCCATCGAATAGGATTTCTGAACATAGCTCATACGGCCAGAAAAATGAACCCAACATGTAGAAAAAACCATAGGGTACTTTCTAGTTACGTTTTGTGTATTACACAAAACTAGTTTATTGGTTGTATATTATTTTATGGCTCCTGCACACAGGACGCGGTAATGCTTGCCGCGCGGCGGAAGTCCGCGCGACAGTCAATCATTATGTTGTTTTTCCGTAAGAGCTAGAAGAGCTAGAAGAGCTAGAAGGTTATTACGGAAAGCAGCATATTGATTGGCTGTTGCGCGAACTTTCGCCGTGCGGCAAACATTACCGCGTCCTGTATACAGGAGCCATTACAAGATATTTTAGGGTGCTTCCCAAGTGCTTAACACATCTTGACACACACGTACACAAAACGAGTTTATTGGTCATATATTATCTAAAATATCTTGTAAGATAATATACAACCAATAAACTGGTTTTGTGTAACACAGTGTACGTAACTGGAAAGCACCTTTAGATAATATGTGACCAATAAACTGGTTTTGTATACGTGTGTGTCAAAATGTGTTAAGCAATTGGAAAGCACTCAATGGCTTGGTTTACATCGTGCACTTGATACGCGTATTAAATAGTAACTTTCTATTAGATAATCTATTAGATAATCTTAATATCGACGATGTATATAAATAATGGTACATTAAGCTGGTATAATACTGATCAAGAAGACTTATTGTATTGATTGAATGCGTTATCGTTGATATGCTTTGTCAATATTAAGATTATTTAATAGAAAGTTAGTTAGCCATTAGCTTGGTTTACATCGTGC